AAAACGTTATTCATCCGTCTTATGAGATCGTTTAAACCTTTAAGTACAGCTATTGCTCTTGTAATTTTATTCTTTCGATGTTGTTTTTTCTGGTTATGCATATCGGTAATGTAAGAAAAATAATAAGAATCTTGAAAAATGAATATATGCTACTTGTTACCGTTAAAATAGTATAGATGGGCGAAATGTACCGCAGATATCAGTTAATTTTAACATCTTGTTCTTGTCAGCTTGAGTGAGGTTTCTATATTCGATGAGAGGATCTGAAAAAAATTGTTGGAAGCCATCAATCTTATCTACGATACTCTTATGGGAAGCATGTAGCTCTTTCATTTGTTTACTGGCAGTTTTTTTCTGACGACACTCAGTTGTACCTGCTGACGGTGCTGTTATTACGATTTTTCCCTTTTTGAATTATTTCACTGTAGATTTTTCAGAAGGATTATTGACATTTAGGATGGAGGTTTTGGTTTCTTTTGTCTCTCTTGAATCACGATTTTTTTCTTGTCAGGATGTTTAACTAAATTTACCAAACATTAGACATTACCGGTACTTCAGATCTACTTCGCTAAAAAAAACTGTTTTAAAAAGCAATCACATTATTGTGTACTCATCTTTTGTAATTATTTAATAATGGACAGCTAAACTTGGTAAAGAACATTATAGTACAGTTTACATGAGCTTTTTCGAAGGGGTATATTAATCACTTCGTTATTTCAATTCATTTTCGAGTCTCACTTTTGCACCTCAGCCATGGTCTCGTTATCTGACCTGCACAATCTTTGCTTCGATATAGTATTTCTATGAGTTATCTGTGAGACTTTCCGGCGGACACTTCATTGTAATGCTTTTTTTTGTTTTGTTTTTTGTTTTACATTTTTCTGAATCTCCCAATGCATTAATATTTCGTTTTTGTTACTAAACAATAGTTGTAGCGGTTTTTGAAGGCGGTAGACGGATAAAATAGGTTTGAATTTGTTGTGGCGAACTAGACTAGTTGCTTTGGAAAACTTTTTTGCCATTGTTGTTTAGTGGGCTGTTTGTTCTAGGTCAAAAAAAAAAAAACCGCGATTGAAGATTAACTTTTTTAAATAAAATTAATTCTTAATTATATATTTTATTCGACTTTTGGCTGACTCTTTTAAGTCTCAGGGTGTTTGGCGCAAAATTTCCAAGCGGTTAGTGCAATCTAGCAGTTAATCGTGGATCA